GCTCACGGAGGGTACTCTGGGAGCTGAAAGGAGGGGCACCTGACTAAGCTCCGCATTGGGGGTGTGCCCAGTTGAATCACGGAGGAGAAGTGGAAGTTAACCAAGTGGAGGACATTCCAGGCAGAGGAGCAGCAAGGACAAAAGCATGGAGACGTAACTGTTAGTGGCACATTCCAAAAATAATGGGCTGACTGGTAAAGGATCCACGTAGGAAAAAAAGTAGGAAATTTGTGCAGGTAGGTGAGGTACGACAATAAAGGACTTCAATTCCAAGTTAAGGGGTTTGGATGTTAACACAATACTAGCTGACATTTCTACAGTACTTAACTATTTCCCAAATTCTGTGCCTCTCTGGGAAGCTTGACGGCTTGTGAGCTGGAAGGAGGTCTTTGAAGCAAAATGGCGCATGGTAAAGCTCAGGGTAAAGATTATTGACAAGAATTCCTGGTACCAAACACACACAGTGTCTGAGGAAACATTATACCCTGGAAGAACTGTTCTTTGCTTTCCTCTGAGGCTTTGCATCCTAGATCCCTTCATGGATGAAAAGAGAGCTTACCGAAATCGTTTATGTGTCTGATTCTCCCACTAGACCAGGAGTCCCTTCCATTTCTGAGTCCTCATCACTGGCCACAGTGTCTGGCATATAGTAGGGGATCTCTGCACGTTTATCAAACAAATAAAGTGTTTTGTTCACTAAATATTTTGGTTAATAAATAGTTACCACATCAAGCTCAGATCACCTATTTCCATAGAATTAGAATGTAATAAAACAGATGTTGTGGAAGATTATTGTCAACAATATTCACCCTCTCTTCCCCACGTCTGTGGGAGGAGTATGCTCCCTGGCTTCTGGTTTGGGGCTCTATGAAGTGACTTGCATTGGCCAGTTGGATGTTAGCAGATGTGAAGCCAGCAGGGGCTTGAAATGTACTTGCACACTTGGACCTCTGCAATCGCCGTGGGAACATACCCTGGTCAGCCTAATGGTCCAAGGAAGATGTGAGACATTTGGAACATACTCTGGCTCCAACCTGCTGCTTTGAAACACCCTGCTAAACCCAGCCGAGATTAGCCCAGCAGACCTGCAGAAGAGTCAGCAAAAAACACATGCTTGTTATTGCATGTCTCTGAGTATTAGAGTTGTTTGTTATGTAGCAATAACTGAGAGATACGACCCTGCACTAAAAAAATGCACCAACTAGAATTTAGTTGTCCTTCATTCAGTAAAGTGAGTCGCAGACTCTGGTTTCTGAGCACTTCTGACTCTCAGTTCCCTTGTCTGGAAAATCTGTAAAGCTGTTAATGAGGATTGAATGAGGCCCCCCCACCCAAAATACTTCGTGCAACCCCCAGTACATTGAAAGTGCTCAATGTGTGCTCTTTATGATGATGATGATGATGATGATGTTTCTGGACCTTGAGTCCCTGCCTTAAAGAGCAGTTTTCCCTGGGTGTGGGGAGATGCCAGTGAGCAGAGAACTCCAAATCTCCAAATCACAGAGCATCAAGAAACGGAACACTTACGGTACGCTGATGTGCGTCCTTCCAGAGTGACCTACACTGAACTTCCCCACCCTCTGCCAAAGAGCTAAGGCACCACGGCCCGTTTATTACAGTCAACAAGTTGATGACGCAGCTGTCCCGGAGGAGGTAGACTCAGTGTCCTGGTCGTGTGTCCTGGAGTGGGAGCGAGGCTAAGATGTGGTGGGTTTGATCCGCTCATGCTCGGGCTATGGCAGGCTGCCAACAGAGCACTTAGCGCAGCCTCCCCTCCCCTCCCATCTGTCTTCCCTCCGTACAGACGCCTAATACCACTGCATGCTCACAGGCAAAGTGTCTATGGTTTGAGGACACCCAAAACACAGGGGTGAACGCAGCAACCAAACAGAATCTGTCTCACGAGATCACTTCGCCCTCATAGGGCATCTACCCACAGATCTACCCAGAGCAGCTCATTTTGTTCCACTGAAGGGTAAACTATGAAGATCTCTCCGTACCCCACCTAGCCCCACAACAGGTTAAGGGGAATTATTTCCAAACTTTGTCTAATTCATATACTATGATGTCTCCACAAGTGGCCACGTGCAGGTGTGGGCTCTGATCGTATCTTGCATTTAACCAATCCTCTGGCTTCCAGATCCTTAGGATCTGGTTATAGATTCTGCAAGTCCTGGTGTTGTCCTGTCCTCAGAGTGTCGGGAACCCACTGGTGTTTGGCTGCAGACTGGAAATGTTTCTAGAGGCCCAACTGAATCTAGGAAAATAGAAAACAACCCATCCCACATTACATAATTGGGCCGGGAAAACATGTTTCATATTAGAAAGGCAGCCAGCAGTTTCTAGGACTCAGAGGTCTGAGTCGTTCCTTTGGCCTGGACCTGCTTAAGAATGACAATATTTTCACCTCTCCACGTTCAGCTGCCCCCTCTGTCATGATCCTGCTGCTTTGTGTAATGCACTCTGTCTTCCACTCTGGAGAGGATGAATAAATAGCAGAGCATGAGAATTATTATGCTTCTCAGAGAGGTTGGGAAGATCAATACAATGTTTCTCACACAAATAGGAAATGAAAATGAAGAGATATCAAGGTCCTTAGAAGCAGACCGGAGTCGTACAAAAGTATAACAGCACCAGCTGTATAATCAAAAAGGCAGTCCCCTTAGATTGTGACACCTGACACAGACTCTGTAAAGGCAGAGTCCCAGCCGGCCCTCCAAATGGTGCCCCAGCCCTGCCCGTCCTCCGCCAGGCAGGGCTGCTCACTCCCCCCGCCCAGGGCTCCTTAGCACCCTGTATTTCACTGTAACACGGCGGGGTGGCAAGGCCGCTAGTGGAAGAACTGTATCCTGGTAACGCACTCCAGAGGCAGACGGACTTGGGTTCAAATCCTGACTCCTCTACTTGATCTTGGGCAAGTGATTCAATGTCTCTCAGCCCCAGTATCTTCATCTGTGATGCAGAGGTAAGAAAACCTCCACCCCAGGATGCTCACCAGGGTTAAATGACGCGTGATGTGTCCACAACACTCCTGATGCCCAGCACGCAGTCAGTGCCCAGTGGAGTTCTGTCGGATGGAGGGCGGGTGGGGGGCGGGTGAGCAGCAGGTTAATGCTCTGTTGTCAGTATATTGTAATTCTTAAAATAATTTTTGAGTACGGGGCCCCATATGTTTGCTCAACACTGGGCCCCACAAACCATGAAGCTGGTCCTGCTGAGAACCCACGTGGAGGCCAGCCGTGTGGCTCTAGGAGGCTTTGCCGGCCTATAACGTTATAAGGCAACTCGACCCCATATTTGGGTTTGGTACTTGGGGCAAAGACACTACATTTGGAACAAAATCAAAGATGAAAATATTTTGTACTAAACCTGCACCATTTCATAGCAAGCTTCTGGGTATTTGTTAAAAGAGAAAAAAAGAAAAGAAGAGCAATCTAACCACTGGGGAGAAAGGTCCTTCCCCACTCCCACTGTTTCCTTCCTCATGGAGAGAGTGTGATGAGTATGATTCTGCCCTCCCTCAGCCCCTTCTTCCCTTAATCCAGGAGAGGTGGAGCCATTATCAATAATTAATTTAGTCTATTTGGGAGCTGGGGAGCCTGGGTGGCTCAGTCGGTTAAGCATCTGCCTTCGGCTCAGGTCATGATCCCAGGGTCCTGGGATCGAGTCCCGCGTCGGGCTCTCTGCTCAGTGTGGAGCCTGCTTCTCCCTCTCCTCCCTGCTCGTGTTCTCTCTCACTATCTCTCACTATCTCTGTCTCTCTCTCTCTCAAATAAATAAATGAAATCTTTTTTAAAAAATAGCATATTTGGGAGCAATAAACTGGGCATGCTCAGCTCTGCTCCCCACTCTTCTCCTCTCCTGGGAGGAGGAGGTGGTGTCTGTCCTGGGCCGGCCAGCTATAACAAGGTGAGTGAGTCTGTCTAGCTCTTGGCTGTGATATTAGGAAACCCATTTGGCTCTCACCCTGCACCACACCCTTCAACTAGCCTCATCAGTAACAACAGTGATACGCTGGTTTTCAGCTATTACTCCACTGTCTCACTCCTCAGTTTGTTCAGTTCTTGGGTGAGAAGAAGGTTGCTATTAATGGATACCCTCGGTGACCCCCAACAACCACACGAACCCCACCCAGCCATCTTGTGATTTAGGACAAGATTTAATTAAAATGCCTCATTAAAAGCTTAACTTACAGTGAGGAAATGGTATAGATACTGGAGAGAAGCTCATATTCATGGCATCTCCAAGCTGAAAGGCACCAAGAGAATTTACTCCAGACTCCTTGGTTCAAGAAGGAGAAAATTCAAAGACATTAAAAGCCTGGTACATTGGTTCTCTAAATGTTAATGGACGTCAGAATCATCTGGAGGGCTTGTTAAAACAGATTTCTTGGGCCCATCCCAGAGTTTTGGTTTCAGTAGATCTGGGGGAGAGACCCTACCAAGTTCCCCAGTAATGCTGATGCTGCTGGTCCAGGAACCCTACTTTGAGAACCACTGGGCTGGCATAAAATGAGTGAACCTGTTATTACAGAATGGGAACCAGAATCCCGGTGTCCTGTGTTCTAACTGAATGCCCTTTTCAATCCATCTTCTTGCCTCATGGTTATACCTTCCTCAGCCCTGGCTGGAAGCTCCCTTAGCTGCTGGTTTTATATTTGCACACTCCACCTGGGATGAACCAGCGCTCCTCACCAAAATAACATCTATAATGAGCCTTGAGCTTCCTGGAAAAAAAATGCTTCAACAATGCTAAGTACTTCCGGCACTAACACATATTATAAAAAAAAAATCATGAAAAGAGTGGTTTTTTTTTTTTTTTTGAAAAGAGCGTCTTATGAAGAAAATTTAATGCAGTGAAGGATGCAAACACAATCATGCTAAGGACCAAGAATCCAAAAAGTTGACTGATGTGTTTCTGATGCTTCTATGGTATCATCTAGGTCTCTGTTTATTTTGCTAAATACAAACAAGAAAACTGCTCATACTCTCCCAGGGTACAGGTAGCAAAGTGTTTTTCAAGTCCGTCTTCAGTGAGCTCTGTCTTATTGACCACACATCCTGCATTATTGATCTAGAGACCACAGTTCCCCTTTCAAAAGAAAGGCAACCAGGGCCAAAAGACCCATTTCCAAACTCCACACCTCCATGGCCACCACCAGTCCCATATCCAAGTGATGACAATAACTGTGCTCAACTGTCCCTTCACGTCAGACCCCTTCCAGGAAAACGCCACTTGGGCAGAAAGCTCAGCCACAGAACGGTGCAGAGATCTCTGATGACAAGGGGTTGTCTGGGCAACTGAATCCTCAGTAAGGTGCTCTGGGATTGCACCTAGACCAGAGCTGTCCAATAGAAATATGTAATTTTTCTCAAAAGTAGCTGCATTAAAAAGATAAAAAGAAGCAGGTAATCCCTCTCCCCCTGCTTGTGTTCTCTCTTTCTCGCTTGCTCGCTATCTGACTTGCTCACTCTCTCTCAAATAAATAAAATCTTTAAAAAGGGGAAGGGGGCACCTGGGTGGCTCAGTCATTAAGCGTCTACCTTTGGCTTAGGTCATGATCCCGGGGTCCTGGGATCAAGCCCCGCATCGGGCTCCCTGCTCGGCGGGAAGCCTGCTTCTCCCTCTCCCACTCCCCCTGCTTGTGCTCCCTCTCTCGCTGTGTCTCTGTCAAATAAATAAATAAAATCTTAAGAAAAAAAGAAGCAGGTAAATGTTAATAATATATTTTATTGAACTCAGTATATTCAAAATAGTATCACTTCAACATGCAATCATTAGAAAAATCTTAACGAGATGGTTTGCTTTTTTTTTTTTTTTCCAGACCAAGTCTTTGAAATTGACTCATTCTTCCCCTTACAGCACACTTCAGTTAGGACTAGCTACACTTCCAATGCTCCCTAGCCAAACTGGACAGTGCAAGACCAGACCTTGGCCCAAATGGGCATTTTTGAGCACATCAGAAGCTGTTCAGATAGAAGAGCAGCTCGGCTCAATGCAGAGCATCTGGGAGGGGCAGACACGTACCATCCCACCTGAGTCCTCCCGGCTCTCTGTGAGTTCCACACTGTGTTACTAAAAGGTTTGCTTGTCTGCAGCAGGCATTCTTTTGGACCAAACTTTTTATTTTTATTTTTCCCAGAACCCCTAATTTTAATACACACATACCCAAATCTACAGAGCTTAGGAATACAGATACACACATCATCATTTTATGAAAAATGGAATGTCCTCATCTTCCCATAGTATCTACCCCGTGGGTGGTCCCCTCCCGTTTCCCACAACGTGCTGGGTCTCCCCTTGAGGCCAGTGAGTAAACCCGATTGCATGAGCAGGCCTCACCATAGAGGATTCTCACTAAGATGTCGTCTTAAAGACCCACAGACCTACATATCAGTCTGTATCCACATAGATGAAAAATGTACACACACGAGATTTATCCTTTCCTTAGGTTTATAAAACTTACCAGAATACTGAGTTGATTTTCCTGCTTGAAATTTTCAATAAATTCCCAGATATTCTTGGGATCAGACAAATCCACATGTGCAGAAAGATGTTCTAAACCAGAAAAAAAAGTTGTAAAGCTTTTTAAAAAAGATATAAACTAGCATATTTTAATTTAAAAAATACATATGTGTGTTTTTAAAATAAAATGCTTTGGAGGATAATACAAGATGGAAAGTAGCAGTCTCACTCTTCAGCAGTAAACCACTGCTAACAGTTTCTTTTAATCATCCGGAAATATTTTAAGCACATACAGTAATTATATACATATATTTAAAGCATAATATATATTATGTATATTAAGCATGATATACATATTATAAATATGTGCCCCCTTTCCATACAAATAGGATCAGACTATACATTGCTCTGCATCCTTATTTCTCACTTAATATATTTTAGAGGTTTTTTTTAAACTATCTATAAGCCTGCCTTCTTTCTTTTATGGTTACCTAACATACTTCAGCATGGCTGCGTAGAGCTTCCTCCTGCCGATCATTTAGGGTTTTTGTCAATATTTTGCTCTTAAGACTAGATCTAAGGTACATCGTAATTACTAGATGACGACTTCCTTGGTGACTCAGTCCTTGCTCATGATGTTTACCAATTTCCACCTTGTGTTATAGTCGCTGCTGGACACAGCTCCCTCCCGTAGTATACTGGGGACTTCTTGATGGAGGAGTCATGTTGAATGCCCCCCTCTTGCCTCTGGGTGGTGCACACAGCCGTACATGGAGACGATTAATGTATATTGGCTGTCCAGCCCCTTCTCTGTCCCCGGCACAGGAATCAGGCTTATAGTCTAAGTATGCCGTCGGGCAAGGACATGCCCTCTGCGCCGCAGCGGGCATCTGTGACCTACCCCGAACCCAAGGCAGAGACTCCTGCTACCGCAGAGACCTGAGAGCTGACCCTACAGGTCAGGTTCTGAGCAACAGCCACAATTCCTTGGATGAAGCAGAGTTCCGGGCCATGCCTCAGCTTCCCCATTAGCTGAGTTACAGAACCCAAGACTGTAGTCAGAATTTCTTTCTACTGGTCTTAAAACATATTGTTTCTCACTCTGAAACAAAGGCTCAGAAAATGAGAAAACCGAAAAAATCCTACATTTTCCTGCCTCAGAAGGTTTATCGTCATCTTAAATACCATATTCAGCTCCAGTCTGGCGCAGCTGAATATTCCTCTACTTTCAAAGGATAGGAAAAGCATGATGTGTACAGGACTACGCTCTTTAAAAAAAGGCTGTGAAGGCCTTGGCTCAGCCAGAGCAGACACGGGCTGCCTGCTGACTCCTTCCCGGGTGGGGGGGGTGAGCACCCCCACCCCGATGGCTGCACACTGAGCCTGTAGACACCCAGTCCTTTCTTTTGGGTTCTTCCCCATAACCACCCTAAAATTCTCTCCTACCCAATGGTGCCCAGTAACACTCATATAAAATCCAGGTTCAAAAAAACAACAAAATTCAAGTGAGCGAAAATCAATTCCACTTTGAACATTCCACAACCTCCTTGAATCTCCTGGAGGCACCTGGGGTGTCTCAGCATCGGACGGAGGTAGCAGCATGGAAGAGAGAATCACTGTCCTAGATAAATCAACCACGGAGCCCGCTGAAATGAAGCATCGTGAAAAGATGAAGGAAATCATCTGTCTCCCTCTGGGAGAAAACAGGAGGCCAGGAAGCATCCAGAAGGATAGGCCAGGAGTCTGCTGTGACTAGGGGAAGGAGCTAGGAACAGACACATGCGCATCAGAACCCCCAATCCGCTGACCTACACATGCCAAGGCTGACCCTCGGAGCCAGTGGGCACCGCCATACTAACTCTTTGAAATTGAACAAAACTCAACTGGATCCTTTCTGCAGACAAACCACCATCTAGCTGCTCCGTGGCCCAGGAGTCATGAGGGGACATCACAGGAACCCCTCTACCCGTGTCAGAGCGTGAGTCTGATGAGCAAATGGAAAACAGTGCATGAATGCATCCTTAGTAGGAATCGCTACATAGGAATGAGGTGCTAGTTAATATTAATTTTGAGTAGTCAGGAAGCTAAACCAAGCCAGTGATTCGCACAGGACCTTGCACCTTCCCTGGTGCCCACACTCACCTGATTCGGCCAGCCTGCTGCACACCTACCCAGGCTCTCCTGCCCAAGGCACCGCTGTACCCAACCATGCAGAGAGGACCTGTCCCTCCAGCGCTCTCGACATTGATTCAAGAGAACTGGGGAGCTTGAAGCAGAGAATGTAAGGTTGGGAGTGGTGAAAGTATTAGGATAAAAAATATCGAGAACACTAATAATCTTCTCCTACTGACTGAGAGCTAAACGTATACCCTGAACTTCCCCATGTCATAGCACATATCATGTTATGCCAGTCAAGTTTCTAATCAAAACCTCTTTCAATAGAGGGAGCTGAATGCAGGGATCGGTCCCCAGAGGATGAAGATGGTAAGAAGCTAACTGGGACTGGCCCCTAACCAGAATATCGGGAGGAGAAGGAAGCCACCGGCCTGGTGTGGAGGAATGAGTGGAGGAGGTGGTGTGACCTGAGCCAAGGAGACAGGCTCGCCACCGAGAGGAGGAACCTCAGAGGAGGTCCAGCGTTGCCAGGGAAGTCAAATATCCTGTTTCTCTCTTCTTACCACCTACCACTCTTCCTCAATGGCCAAACCCAGCCGGAAGCTGGCTGATATGAAGGCCAGAGAAACACATAGTTGGGGGTCCGCACAGCTACTCCCCACTTGCCCCCACTGTGCTACAGAGCTGAGCAGGCAGGTGCTTGTTAACCACTTGGTCCCTCCCAAGACTGTGAGGGGTTGTATCTGACTCTATCACCTCTGTCTCCGGCTCCTAGCACACCACCTGACACATGGTTCACACTCAAACACGTGTTCAAATATAGAGTAATATCACCCCTACTTTTCAGATGGGAAACTGGGGTTCACAGAAGCTGAGAACACCGCCCAAGCTCACAAGGCTACTGAGCACAGAACCAGGACTCAAAGCTGAGCCCAGCTCCTTCCTACACCGTTTGTGTGGGGGCTGCACGTGCTAGACCGCATGAGGCTGCGAGTGGTGCCTCTTCATAAACGGGGCGGGGAGAGCAGTCGATCCCCCTGGCAGAGCCTGGAGGGTACACTGAGTCAGGGAAACCACGCCACCGGGATGAGCAGACAGCACTGTCAGCCCTGGGCCCTTGGAGCTCTCAGCGCTGGAGGCCACCTATAAACACACACACAAGAAAAGGGAATCTCCCCTGTGTGCGCTCCAACCCCACCTTGTGTAAGGCAGGAGGTGAAGGGCTGCCTCTCTCCCCACCCCAGGAAATACGTGTGCTCCGTCTTTTCAGCTCTACCCTCCCAACGACGGCTCAACATTATAAACAGAACCGTACTGTCATCTTTTTCCATATAAATCCACTTTGCAAAAAATGCAGCCCAAACCCCAGCAGGCTGGAATCCGGGCAAACCCTCATCTGCCTGTGGCCTGAGATTAGTATTCTTGTTGCGTCCTGCAGCAGGCACAGCTGAAAGTTATCAGCAGGCAGGCAGCCAGCTTTCAATCTCAAAAACTGCAGCCGCAGATCGCCGCGGCGCGCACACCGTAGAGGAAGATTTAGAGACCCTCACTCTCGCGGCTGGCGCGGAGCCTCTGTGCGGCATCTGATGGCGGGAGACCACAGACGTGCCGTGAGAACAGAAAGGACACTTGCTTTGAGAGCGTTATGAAAAATAAGAAGAACCACCTTCAGGAGCGGATGCAAAATATTCCATTCTAGACTGGAGCATTTCCCCCCCCACCCGCCCCCGGGCACGCGCCGAGGCTGAGGGGGCGGGGGCGCTGTCTGCCCCGCCCCCGGCCCCGCCCCCGGGCGGCTTGGGAAGCAGGTTCGCGGCGGAGGCGGCGGTGAGGGCGGGGCTGGAAGGCAGGGTCGAGGGACTTTCTGCTGCGAAAGTGAGGGAGCCATGGTAACTGAGGGCCATTCCCAGGGGCCTCTTCCGTCTTATCATCTCTGCAGCTCCTAGCACGCGGCCTGACATATGGTTCACTCTCAAACATATGTTCAAAAATAGAATAATATCACCCCATTTTTCAGATGAGGAAACGGAGGTTCGGGGAAGCTAAGAACACTGCCCGAGCTCACTTCACAGTGAGTTTTCCATTCGGGGCCAAGTTCATGGGGGCCAACCTGTGCAGGTACACAGGCCCCACATTCAGAAGGGCCCCACACTCGTTTTTGTACTCTGCCTTCACTGTCTTGAAATGTTTAATACTTTTTGCACCAGGGTCCTACATTCTCATTTTGCGCTGTCCCGCAAATTAGGCGGACAGTCCTGGCTCCGACTCTCTTAGAAAAGCCAGAGGACAAAATGTGGGCCGGCTCTGAAAGCTCTTGTGAAGAGGTGGCTCTCATCAAGACCTAAATGTCTCTTGTCCCTCTTTATTGGAGAGCCATTGGGTCAGTTTACAGCTTGGCGTGGCGTGCTGCAGTCAGTCCCCTTCGATGTGTCTCACCGGCGGGAGCTCCTTCCCCGGTGGAAACCCCAGCAGAGTCATCGTCCAGTCTAAGGTCTCTGCAGCAGGGACTGGCCCCTGCCTGCCGACCGGGATGAGCGGTCAAACCCAGCCACTAGAAAGCTCGGGTGGCTGGGCTGCTTCCAGAGCAGAAGCACCCCAAGCCGGCCACTGCCAAGCCAGGGAGCGCGGGCAGCAGCTCAGCCCTCTCGCAGTTGATGGAGGTCAGGTTGAAAGAAACCCCCAGCAGGAGAGGCAGCTCACCTGCTTAGCGCTCCCCCTGATGATCTCACCTTTGGAACTTCGAGCTGGGTCTTGATCTCGACAAACCAGGTGAATTGTGCCACCTGGTGGAATTCAAGGAAACCATCTGTGAATTCTAGAGATCGCTGTGGCTATGGAGACCAGCTTTTCCAGATGAATTAAGACGTTCGGGCTCACAGGAAGAATGCCTGAAACTGAGACTCCTCTGGAAAATCTAAATGGATGGTTGCCACAATTTGAGCAGCGGATATAATAGCCAGGGTGATCCTGGAAGGTGCTCTCCTGCCTAAATGGGCTGACTGATGGGGCATCCGGGATAAGGTCCTGATTTTTGTAGGGGTTTGAACACATCAAGGTTAAGAAGTGTCCCTCTTGGTCACACCTGCATTCCCAGCATCTCACATGGCACCTGACACAGAGGTCGCAACTGGGCTGCACTTTAGACTCGCCTGGGGTGTTTTTAAAAGCTCCAGATGATGGGTCCAGGCCTGGGTATGTTTTAAAAGCTCCCCAGGTGAGTCTAATGCTCAGCCCAAGTTCAGAAACACTGGCCTAACATGTAGCAGGGACTCGATTAATATTTATTGAATGGCTGAATCCATAATTGGCACTCAGACTATTCCAGCAAAGACCATACTATCATCAATCAAAGTTTATGTAAAGGGGAATGCCTTGGCTGTGGCAGTTAAAAAGTAATCATTACAGAGCCTGATTTCTTCACTTAAAATAGCTTGCTTTATTAAGTGGGGTCTGTTTCATGGGAGGCTCTCAGCTAACCATATAACCAGCCCCTCTGCTCTGTCCTCCTCCCCACAACACTTCAGAGGACCTCCCAGTTGCTAAGATGCACTTACTCCTCACCCTGACTTGGCTGACAATGAAATACAACTCCAAATGCTATAATATTCCCCCAGAAAAATGCCTAACTTGATTTCAGAGGGAAAAAAACCCAAAAAACAAAAACAACTTTGAGCGTCTGGAGAAGTGATACATTCCCAGCCTATTTCTCCAACTTCTACTGGAACATCCGTTTTTCTGGAGAAGAATCTCTGGAAAGACATGGTGGACTTGTCTAGCCACCACAGTGCCATTTGGTGACCCAGAACCATTGAATTCATGCAGGAAATTCTGGCATTTACTCAGAGGAAGACTTCAGCTGATTAAATAATTTACAGGGCACCTAGAGAGCCTTTCACAAAATCAAGATTAGGGAAGTGAAATAGGAGGCCATCCCCAGCCCCTCTAAGCCTGGAGGCTGGACCCCAGAACACCAGGAAGGAGGAAGCAAGTTCAACGCACTCCCCTCTCAGGTTATTCGGGGGGGCACTGGTTCTGAAGTAGGGTCCACAGCCAAACTGCAGTGGACTCCCACCCTCCTCCCCACGCCACCCTCAGATGCTCACTGACAAGACATGAGGTGGGGATCAGGTATCCATGCCCTTTTAAAGTTCCACTGATGATTCAGAGGCCCAGAGTTGGCTGGAACCCCTCACTGCTCTTAACGATGTGTGGCCAGGACCTGAGCTCTCCCGTGAATTAAGAGTTGAGGAAAGGCTCCTCCGGTCACTTGCTCTGTCCACCTCTAGCTGGAAGCTCAATGCACAGCTGAGAATCAGCAGCTGTGCCGGTCCTCATGGGATCACGGTCAACTCCTGGCCATGCTGGCTGGGCCCTCCCTGACCTGCCTGTGACATTGGGCACTCTCCCCAGTGTGGAGCGGCCACAGGCTGGCCTTGAGGCCCTGTGGACACACAGCAGGCTGCTCACCTCGCTTGGCTCTGTCAATAGCAGTTTGCTTTTCCCAATGCCACTGTTCCCTCAGCTGACCAAGAAGGCTTTTCAAGGAACTTGGACCTCGAAGGCATCAGGCACAAAGTCCTTAGATGCAGATGCATGGCCACTCCTGGAAGCAGGAAGCCGATAGACAGAATGGCTGTCAGGAGCCAGGAACAGAAAGCCCTGTGGGGAGAAAGCCTAATTCTGGGGTGGGCATTACTACTCCCCCCCAGCACAGCACACAGCTCCTTCCTTCCTTCGTCACTTCCCTGCTTCCCTCCCTGGGCTCAGGAACAATCCCATCCTCTCAGGCTTTACATTTCCTCTCTCATTAGCTTCTTGAACTTTCAAAACTATTAGACTCTAACAATTTGGCACCCAAGCCAGTTTTCTCTGACTGCCTCTGATACTGGAAGTGCCCCCCCCCCCAAAATCCTCTGATAGATGGATTATTTTCCCTTTATCCAATTTCGGGGGGAAAAGAAGAGGAGCTTAGGAGACCATTGGCATCATGCCCATGCCTTCTACCTAGCTGTAGAAGGACTGGGTGCAGTGGGGGGCTTTGCAAGGACAGAGAGAAGCAGGAGGAAGGAAGGTAGCTGAGTTCGGTACGGCCTCAGGGAAAGCCAAGACTGCTTCGGGGCTAGGGGGTGTGCACCGCACAACTCTAGGGGGCATTGTTCAGATTGCAGTGATGGGGCATTTGTATCTGCATCGAGCAGCTGCTTGCAGATGGCAGCAAAGCATGCGAAGGAGCTGCCCTTTCTAATTTGCACAAAGGGATCACACTGGATAAAAGTAACCCTGAGTTCTTTAACCGTTTCTCTCGGCCGTTTGAGTTCCCTCTTCCACCTTTGCTTTCCTGGTATTGGCTGGGTATGGAACCGGCTGAGGGTGGTGGAGGCAGAATGGAGGCGGATTAGCTGGAGGAGGCCCTGAGGGCAGGAGTGTCCCCACACACGGGCAGGCTGGGTCTCAGAGCTTGGATCTCTCACCCAAAGAGCCCAGTGATTTCTCCCCTGCAGTGGAGAACAGTTCCCTTTCTCCTGAAGGTTCTCCGAGAAGCCCAGCACCCTCCCCCACACCGTGTTTCCACACAGACTGCCAACAGCTGGGCTCCCGGGCCTGCATGACTGCCAACTACAAGCCCGGACACTGCTGAGGAGGCCAAAGAATGTGTATGAGCCCAGGTTAGGTTTGGAAGTCACTGCCACCGACTGCGGACAGTCATGGCCCCTGACTCACAGTCGAGAGACCAGGAAGAATGTTCCTGTTCCCGCCCTCCCTCCGACTCACGGAATGTCCAGGGCAGCTCAGAGAACACCCTTCCCACCGCTTCTGCTGCTCGTGGCGCAGTGCGGCCGGCAAGACGGCAGACTATGCCGAAGCTTCCTGGGAGGCTGACTTGAAGCTAAAAAGAATATCAATAATAAGGGCTTTGGGTCAAAAAACTTGGGTTTAAATCACAGCTCTGCTTCTTAATAGCTCTGCCATCTCCTGTGTTGACTTAACCTTTCTGGGCTCCTGCAGCCCAGAAGAGGAGACTTTTCTGCAGAGAAGGGAAGATAAAAGCTAACTATTGGGCAGCCTAGAGGAGATGTATGCAAGGCATTTATTACCAGGCTTGGAATAAATTAAGAGCTCAATACATAGTAGTTACTATTAATATTACTATTATTAATAATGACATCAATAATCCCCGTGTTTAAAACTGAGCTCCTCATTTGCCCCCCACCCTCATCCCGGCCCTCCAAATCATTAGGGACTTTGAGAGCACCTTAAACTATAACCAAAGATGAAGCTGTGTTTCCCCAGACAAATGTTAGGGGGCGGGGGGCAGGATCACTGTGAAAGAATTTTCTTGCAGAAGCAAGCAGTTCCTCAGAAAGGGCTAAGGCCCTGGAGTCAATGAACAGGGTCCTAGCCAAGGGCAGGTACTGGTGGGGAACGAGTGAGACCTTCCCAAACCACAACAGGGCCACAGAGAACCTGCAACTAACTGCCCTGAAGATCCCCTCCTTCAGGGGCAGGAAGCCCAGAGGCTTTTCTCTCTGACACCTAGCTAGAGGAGACCTGAGCCTCTGGATGACCACACTGATCCTATTAAACACTAAGGTTTGCCAAGGGCAGCTCCTGTGGATTAAACCTCTTCTTCAAGCTCTAGGCTGTGAGCCATGCCAGAGGGCGGTGCCAGGCTGGCCTGCAGGGCATGTCACACCCTCCTTCTGTCCTTCCTCCCGGCTATTTGTCTTCGGTGCATGATCCTGTCCTGGGTCAATCTGTTGTTAACAATAAGGTTTGGGGGGGGCCCTGGGTGGTTCAGTTGGTTAAGCGTCTGCTTTTGGCTCAGGTCATGATCCCAGGGTCTTGGGATCAAGTCCCCCATCGGGCTCCCTGCTCAGCGGGGAGTCTGCTTCTCTCTCTCCCTCTGCTGCTCCCCCTGCTTGTGCTCTCTCGCTTGCACGCGTGCGTGTTCTCTCTCAAATAAATAAGTAAACTCTTAAAAAACAATAAGATTTGGCTTTTTTGTATCCCCCATCCACTTTCTGGGGAAGTATTTTATCTTCACAAACTCTTGATATCAGTCCCTGTTTTTCAGTGCAGAGAGGAAATGAATGACTTGCCTAAGATCACAAAATGGTAGGTCATAAAGCCAAAGGAGGGTTTCCATTCTTTTAACACCCAGCCTGGGGCACCTTGTACTACACCAGTGATGCTTAAAGGATGAGCGCCACACAAGCAGCTTTAGCGTCACCTGGGAACCTGCTAGAAACGTGGTCTTGGTCTACCGAGGGCGTGGTCACACGCCCTCCAGATGATTTTGACTCAAACTGAGCAACCACTGTACTTAGTGCTTCCTGAACCCCTGAAGATAGGAATCACCAAGGGGCGAGCTCCTAGGCATGTTTCCCCCAATTTACCCAATATGGAATTTGCCTAGGCCCCACCTACTTCTGTGAGGGACTTAGGAATCAGGTTTTGTTGTCTTTTAAATTTGTTCCAGGTAATTCTTAGGTTCAGGCAAGTTTAGGGAACAGTGACTTGGTACTGTTGCATAGATCAATATAGGGGAGCTTTATAAAAGTCATGGTGTGCCAAGAAAAAACAGCATAAACCCAAACTACAGTGACTCTCACACTGGAATCAAAATAAGGAATTATCTTTCCCTCCATTTCACTAAATGTACAACAACAGGGAGACCCACCTGGATTGCACCCCTCCCACTCCGTGAACGAGTCTGGGGAGAGACTTTTAGAAGCCTGCTCTCCCAGGGCAGGAAGCTGACTCAAGCTCTTGGGGCTGCTCTCTGTGTAACATGGAAACACCCAGCAAATAGCGGCCACCGCCAGAGTGCACCCCTTTGAAAGAAAGAGGCTGCCACTGTATTTGCCTAAATCTGGGGGTTGGGGGGCAGGGTTGACGGTTACACTTCCCACCATTATCTGCAGTCCTGCCTCCTGAGAAAAACAAGCACTTTTCCCAAAAGTATGTGGGGTGAAGAGAAGGGAGCAGCCGCCGCTTGCCTCCCCTTGGAATGATGGAAATGTGCGGGGCTGCCTTAGGAACTGATAAAAACCCTCGTGCAGGGAGGAGAGAGAGTCTCTCAGATGACCAGGCCGCAAGAGAATCACCTGGAGGATTTCTACAAAATGTCAGCGTAGGCCCCGGTGCGGACCAACTGAATCAGAATCTCTAGGGGCAGGGCCCGAAACTGGTATTTTAAATTCTTGCCCCGTTATTCAGACAGGATTGCGAACCACTGCATAAGCCTAATTAATTCTAAGATAAAAACCATCTCTCCAACCCCGGGAACTGGCCGCCCCTTAAAATCACAATGAGGTGGAGAACCGGCTAGGGCACAGCGAGGGTTACCACCAGGCCAGTGAAATCATCAAGCACCGTTCATCAAGCTCACACGGTGCACAGTGGACACCCGCCCCGAAACCCGCGTTCGGAATGTTCCAGCAGGCGCCAGAGGTCACAGTCCACAAGCTGCGTTTTATCGGTGAGAAAAAAACACACCCAGGAAAGTTCTAAGCCAGCGTCCTCGGCAGCAGTTTAGAGCTCGCCCGGCCTGACGCCGACAGCAGCCCAGCGCAGTCACCCGAGCACGCCCTGCAGGGCGCCAAGGTAACGCCCAGGGGCTCCGGGGCCCGCGGGCCGCCTGTCGTCAGTGGGTCCCGGCCCAGGCGCGGCAAAGCCCCGCCCCTCGGGCGCCAGCCGGGTCCCCGAGCGTCCGGGAGCTGCACCCTGCCCGCCCTGTATGTGTGCCCGCGGGCTGCTAGCCTGCGGGTGCCACTGTCGCTTCGTCGGTCCAGCGAGATCGCGAAGTCCCGGGCGCGTCCCCGCCAACCCTGCTCGCCCGCGCCGAGGCGGGCCACGTGACGGCCAGCGGCCCCGCCCACCCGGCGCTGCACCCTCGGCCGCCCGCGCCGTCTTACTTGGTGTATTCGCGCAGCCCCTCGGCGAGCCTCGCGGCGCTGCGGTGGAGGGACGCGGTGGGGCCCGCCCTCTCGCTGCCCCCGCTGCCCCCGCCCTCGGGAGCCGGCAGCGGTTACGTCATTCCAGTTATGTAAGAGCCGCGGTCTCCCGGGCTCTTCTCTACGCGGAATGCGGCAGGGTCTCCCGTAAGGCTTGGCCCAGCGCCCACTCCTGCCCCAGGCTCTGAGCGCAGGGAGCGGGAGGGCGGGGCCTGCTGCGGGCCGCACTCAGGGCCACCTAGTCACCTCGGGGTTGAAAGCGGGCGTCAGTATGTGTTTAGGGGATACCTGTCTGCTGGGTATGGCTGGGATGCAAAGATGGCACCGCAACTCACCTCGTAGAAAGTGCTTACCCAGAAAATCGTGCGGAATTAAAAAGATTAGGCTCAATGATATTAAAAAGATTTCTCCATCTGATGAGCTTCATCATAAGGGGTGTTGTGATAACTAGCATTTCCCAGGTTCCTAATGAGCTTATTGCAGGTAATGTCCCGAGTAACTCAGCAGCGATACAGCTCCCCTCTCCAGCAGGTGCAATGAGTCAGATTGGTAATGTGAACACAGTGACATCTGGCAAGAGGCAGGGCTGGGTCGCCCACCGGAGAGGTAAGTCTGTCTTCTAAATCTGAACGTCTGCCCCTAGTTCGGCGACTTCATGCGGTGCCAAGGAGGGCCCCTTTATCTCCTCCAAATCTCCATCGCCCCCCCCACCCCCCAAACTCCAGAAAACATACAGTGTAAGCAAAGCATGGTTGCTGTGCAGATCTAGACCCCAGTGAAGTCATCTAGCCCTGTTGTGTACGCGCCATCAGGCATCCCTGTCCACATCTCACCTCCGTCCCTAATCGAGAGACGGGGCACTCAGTTAAATTCTGTACTGCTGTACCCAGCTCGCCCAGAGACGGAGCGACTCTTACCTAAGAGGTACAGAGACCTGCTGGTTTCATGGCCTCATTGCCTAGGATGTGAGATAGAGGATCACTACCTCCCACCCCCACCAAGTGGATGGGTTTTTACGTCAGAATCTCTTTTGAAATAAGTTTCCCCAGAACAGTGTGTTCCTCTGAACAGGATTGTGAGGTTCTACCGCATTGCTCTTATTCCTGACAGAGTGATGAAAGGAGGCCTTCTGTAAAACCGCCCAGCCTGGTGTGACTTTCAATACCAGTCTGGTTTGGCTGGGGGAATATTTTAGATTCCCAGAGCTACACAACTGTGCTTTGTATACTCTTCTTTGTGTCAGTGATGGAAAAGGTGTCAGTCCGCTCTGCATCCCACTCACCACCTCAGGAAATAAGCTTTTGGCTCGCAGAGGGGTGAGAAATTGTTTCGGACCAGAGTCTATTGAGGGCATCAGCCGCACCTTGAAGTGAAAGGTTGGGTGGAAGGCCAGCTCTCAACCTGGCGTGCGAACCTCCCCGGGCACGCTGCATAGCCAGTCTGTCTCAGTGTTCTTATTCATAGAATGGGAATGAATATGCTCACCTCATCACCTCATGAGGTTCTGGTGATGATTAAACACTTTTGTAAAGAGCTTAGCAAAATGCCTGGTTTCATCTGAAGTGATCAAAAAGTGTTCACTTCCCTCCTTAAATTTGTCCTTCTATTCCTTTCTCCCCTTACAGTATAGCCATGCCATGTACATTCAGTCGATCGTCCATGAGGGCACGAAGCATGTAATGTTTATCCTCAAATCAACAAGCATCCACAGGGTACCTAGTGTGTGCATTATACACACATCATGGGAGGTTGTAAGAAAAGACAACCCCCACCTCAGAAGGGCCTTCCACTCTCCCCTGGCTGACAAGAAACATATACACAAAAAGAAACAGAGGACAGGACAGGATTAATGGGAAAAGGCTCCAGTTTAAGTAGGAGTTAGCTCAGCTGGATTTTTGTCCTATTTCTGATTCCCAGTGTGACCTGGGGTAATAATGATAAAATTTATTGAGGGCTTGATATGTGCCAAGCATTGGGATTATCTCACTTAAGCCTTACAGTGACCTAGTAAAGTGGCTCTTGATATTATCCCCATTTTACAGATGAGCAAATTGAGACTTAAAGGAGTAAGTCCCTTAGCTGAAGTCATAGTGTCCATGCTGGAGCCATACTGTATGCAGCAAGTCACTTAGCCTCTCTGGGCCTTAGTTTTCTTACCAAATGAAAGGGGGAAACAGATGACATGTGGGGTCCCTTCTAGCTCTGACTTTCTATATTTAATAAGAGAATTACATAAAAATTTTAAATAAGTTAAGCCCAAGGTGTTTTTAAGAGTGACACTGAGTGGGGGTAGCTGCTTCATTTCACATGGGTAGAAAGACTCTAAAATATTTCTTATGTGTCCCAGCTTTCAATTTGCTACACAATAAACCAAACAAAGAAAGCCTCCTCCAAAGCTTCCTTCCAGTTGATTTAGAGTCCTAAGGCTAATTTAGACCAAACTTGAAGGAGAAGCAGAAGGTGTGGCCTAAGAAATCCATGGCTTCTCACACAACAGATATACATGATAGGAAGACTGCAGACACACACACACACACACACACACACCAGTGTTCGTATCGTCTTCCACCGAAGCTCAGTACCAATTTCTCCAGCCCAGTTGTCATGGCAACACCAGCTGCCAATGAGATCATGGAAGACAAGGTTATAATGGCAGTGGTGCCTTAATATTTTACCTGGCAAAACCACTTAGATAATAAGATGAATAAGCATAAATCATAAATCCATAGGAAGCCCAGGCACTGCTCTTTGTATGTCTTTAATGTGGACTTGGGGGTGGGGAAGAGAAGTGAGGGCAAAGGGAAAGGAACAGAAAGGAAGGGAGGATGAGGCTGGGGGTGGGGAAGAAGATCTCTGATGCTGGTCCCTTTGACTCCTCAGCGTGGATCATGCACAGGTCCTGACCCTGTTTGTGCATGGATTCAAGAACTGGTCTCTTCTGTAATGACAATAACGGGGTTAGGGGCTCCCAGCCTTAATTACAAAAGTCTGATTATAAGAAACCCAAGGCGACACTAAAGGAGGAGAGAAGCAGCCCAGGGGAGATGTACGTGGCAGACAATGACGCTCCCATGCAGTGGCTCACACAACCACCCAGCAGGAAGCCAGACCCGATTTAGAAGTACCTTTCTGGTTGTGCCCCGAGTCCCTTGATGCCCACCAGTTTTTCCAGACTGGTTCACTCCAGGGCTGTCTGCTGTCCATCTGAACCAACTTTCTAAAGAACAAATCCATTTGATGTAAGGGTTTCCTTCCTTTCACAGTGGGGATCTCTAGGAAGAGCTTTGGCACTGGGGAACCAGGGTGGGAGAGAGACTCGGTTTACACTGAATACCCTTTTGAGCCTTTGAATTTTGTACTATGTGCATGAATTAGCTATCCAAATAAAAAACATGCAAAGGTCCACTTTGTTTCCCTTGTCCTCCTTCCCAGAACTAGAGATGGTAGTGGTGAGATGGGCCAAGGGCAGGGCAGTCGTGAAGCCTGGGTCGATCAGTCTCCATGTACCCAAGCTGATGAAGGAGGTGATTTCCTGAAAATGGGGCTCGTGTTGGTCTGAAACTCTCATGGTGTCTGTTTCTAGAGCTCTACTTTCATGGCAAGCCGGTTCCATTCCCAATGCAAAGGCAGTGGGGGCTCAGGGGTGGGGGTCGAATGAGAGCCTGGAGGTTGTTGTAGCTGGCCCTCACCTACTTCCCTGTACCACCTAGGTCCCCCTGCCGCTCAGGAGAAGGGCCACCGGCGAGGCAGGGAGAGACAGGCAGACACAGAGGTGGCAGGGACTGGGATCGAGAGTCAGAAGACCCACATTCAGCTCTGACACCTCTTCAGAGGAGACACTTGACCTCCCTGAGCCTCAGTTTCCCCTCTACACAGCAGTGTTAACTGTCTAGTCCTCACAGCATAGTAGGGAGGCTGAAATAAAAACCTTTCCTCTTATTTAACAAATACTCATACTCTACTTGCTATGTGCCCAGCACTGTTCTAAGCTCACTTCAAACGAGCCTGCAGCAAAGAGAATTTCAGTAGTGTGTCCAAGATCACGTGAGAATCTAGAAAGCAGCACAACCAGGATTCCAACCGGACAGCCTTCACGCCTTTTCTGTACGGATGGAACACCTCTCATAGTGGGTTCTCCTCAGGTTCTTCTTCTAGCCACTTCCATCGGGCTGGAAACTCCTCCCCTTTTTTTGGTGTGTTGACTGGTTCCTGTGTTCAAATGGGTGACTCATAGTCCCCTCGGTTCCCTCTACCAGCATTCCTCCCCTGCCCTCCATTTCACACCCCTCCAAGGACTCCCCGCCAAGCTAGAGGCACTCAGAGACTCAAGGGGGAGCATGCTGGGGGGGGGGGCACTAAGACCCAGAGTAACAGAGTGAGATTGGGTTTTGAGCCTGTGAGCGTGCATCCCTTATCTACACCTGCAACGACCCTGCCCTTGTCCGCTATTCAGTCCTGGGCCATTTGATCATCCTGGGGAGGCTTGGAAGGACTGAGGAATACAGTTTCATTTATGTCTTATTTTTTATTGTGGCAGAATATACATACCATAAAATTCATCATCTTAATCATTTTTAAATGCACAGTTCAGTGGTTTTAAGTACATTCACATTATACCATCACCACCATCCATCTCCAGAACTTTGTCATCTTACAAAGCTGAAACTCGGTACCCCATTAAACACTAACTCTCCTCCCCACCCCCCAGCCCCTGGCAACCATCCCTCCACTTTCTGTCTCTGTGACTTTGACTATTCTAGGTACCTCATATTAGTAGAATCATACAGTATTTGTCCTTTTATGACTGATTACGTGCACTTAGCATAATGTCTTCAAGCTTTATCCATGTTGTATTGTGTGTCAGAATTTTCTTCCTTTTTTTTTTTTTAAGATTTTATTTATTTGAGAGAGAGAGAGAGAGTGAACAAGAGAGCAGGGACAGGGGTGGGGAGGGAAGACAGAAGCAGACTCCCCACTGAGCAGGGAGCCTGATGTGGGGCTCGATCCAGGGACTCCAGGATCATGACCTGAGCCGAAGGCAGACGCTTAACTGACTGAGCCA